TTTTTTTTTTTTTTTTTTTTTTTTTTTTTTTTTTTTTTGGTACCAGGGATTGAACTCTGGTCCTTGCACTTGAGGCAGGCAGCAGAACCAGTGAGCTAAATCCCCGGGCAGCACTTTTTTTTTTTTTAAGCATTATCTTTGTAAATGTTTGAGCTCTTACATTTTACTGATAAGCTAATTTAGAAAGCATCTCAAGATTAAAGTATAACCTGGTTTGCAAAGTTAAGAGTACATGCTTGTAGCTGGGCATGGTGGTGCATGCCTGTAAGCCAGCACTCAGGAGGCTGAGGCAGGAGGATCACTGTGAGTTTGAGACCAGCCTGTACTACATAGCGAGTTCCACGTCAGTCTCAACTACATAGTGAGACCCTGTCTCAAAAAACAAACAAAAAAAAGAGTACATACTTGTTAGCTGGGTATGTTGGTGCATGCCTGTAATCTCAGAACTCTGGGAGGCTAAGGCAGAAAGATTACAAGTTTTAGCTTGGCCTGGGAATTTAGTGAGAAGGTATCTCAAAAACAAAGGCCTGGGATCCCTGATACCAAAAGCAAACAAACAAATAAATGAAGAGCTGGGGATGTAGCTCAGTGTGGTTCAATTACTAGTCCAAGGGAAAAAAAAAAGTATGCTCAACCAAATACTGGGCCAAATAGTGAGCTTCCAGAAAGGTTCAGATAAATTCTTTGTGCTAAGTAAAAGATGTGCAAAGTGCATCCTCCTAACATTATTTCCACCCTTTCCTATATAGAACTACATCCTCACCTACCAATAGCAGAGACTCTCGGAGTTCGCAAGCTGTGCTTTGATAAACCAAGAGGTATATCACAAGTAATTTGTTACTGATTAAAGTTTGTGAATAATTTGTTTTATAAATTAAAAATTTAACTTTCCTGTTTAGAGTACTTTTACCTGTACTTCTCATAAGCTTTCTGATAAAAGAGATTTTTTTTTTAATTCTAAGGCAGAAAGATTACAAGTTTTAGCTTGGCCTGGGAATTTAGTGAGAAGGTATCTCAAAAACAAAGGCCTGGGATCCCTGATACCAAAAGCAAACAAACAAATAAATGAAGAGCTGGGGATGTAGCTCAGTGTGGTTCAATTACTAGTCCAAGGGAAAAAAAAAAGTATGCTCAACCAAATACTGGGCCAAATAGTGAGCTTCCAGAAAGGTTCAGATAAATTCTTTGTGCTAAGTAAAAGATGTGCAAAGTGCATCCTCCTAACATTATTTCCACCCTTTCCTATATAGAACTACATCCTCACCTACCAATAGCAGAGACTCTCGGAGTTCGCAAGCTGTGCTTTGATAAACCAAGAGGTATATCACAAGTAATTTGTTACTGATTAAAGTTTGTGAATAATTTGTTTTATAAATTAAAAATTTAACTTTCCTGTTTAGAGTACTTTTACCTGTACTTCTCATAAGCTTTCTGATAAAAGAGATTTTTTTTTTTTAATTTCAGGAAAACAGTGGACAAAACCATGGATTATACTATCAGGGATATGATGAACATGAATATTACTAATGTATGTCACAGAAGAAAAAGAAAGATTTACAACAGCTGGTTTGGAAAACTAATATGACAGGATATGGTACTTGTTATGGCAAGAGAAGGTAGAATTAACACCAGGCTTTGAGTTTAGGTGACAGCTAATACCAGAATACCTGCTCTGACTTAGTTTATGTATTAAGATTTCATAGGGATACACATTGTATGTCAATTAAAAGCAAAATAATTTAAAAGGGTCACAAGAAAAAAGGATATGATTTGATAAAATGAGTTAAGATTTTTATTTTATTTTTTGGTACTGGGGATTGAAGTCCAGTCCTTGCGCTTGCGAGGCAGGCGGCAGAACCACTGAGCTAAATCCCCGGCCCAAGATTTTTTCTCTACTAGCTAAAAAAATTTTTTTGTACAAAGGCAGCTTTGCTGAAAACTACATTCATTCTGTGGGCCAAGATTAATGTAAGTCAAAAAGAAGGGAAAAAATAGAGGCTAGTTCATAGCTATACTAGGTCAGATTGGCACCTGGGAAAGTTAGTTAAAAAATTCAGTTTTGCCACTTATGTACAGAACTTAGAGATCTGTGGGTTCTCTCTGGATCTCAATTTATTTATCTATAAAACAGGCTCAGCTGAACTAAATGACCTCTAAGGTGTCCCTTTAGATTCTAAAATGCTGTAATTAAGAAACTAATCTTTGGGGCTGGAGATTTAGCTCCGTGGTGCTGCTGCCTGCCTCACCTGTCTTGGAAGTGCAAGGTCCCAAGTTCGATCCCCGGTACAAACAAAAAACTAACCTTTGAAATGTTTATTCACATTTCCTCCTCGGGGCATTCCTGGGACAGAGATGTATGTTCCATTCTAAATGCCCAGATATCCTAGAACCACTTTGTTTAAAAAGTTTCCAAAGATAAGTATTTAGATTTTGTTTTGTGTGTTTTTTGTTTTGTTTTGTTTTGTTTTTTTTGGTACCGGAGATTGAACTCAGGATCTTAGGGAAGTATTTAGATTTTCATCCCTATGCCCAGTACAGAAACTCTACACACAAGGGGCGTGGACTTGTAAGCCCAGAACGACAATAGGTAGTGATGTTCACATCAAACCTAAAAGCTTAGGCTAGGAAGCAAGGCCTTGCATTAAGTAATATTCTTACCTCATCTGTCCCTATCCGATAAAGCCCTTACTTTTCAGCTGAGTTGGTCACATCCATTTTCCCCTTCCTGTCTCTGTTCTGGTCCCTCCATCTAGAAGGGCAAGGAAGGAAGAATAATAAATGTCCATTATTTCTTTCAAGACCACACTCTGTCTTTATATGTTCGTATGTGTGTGTTTGCAGGATTTAACTCTGTAACTAAACTACATTCTCAGTCCTGTCTTTATGTTTTATCAGTATAAATACAGGAATCTCTACAATCTTATACTACCATCACTTATGTTCCCCTGCTTATTCATAGCTATTCACACACTGCACTAAACGCACACTGAATAAATGGTTAACTGTTCTGTAAGAAGAATGGAATCTAATAAGGTAATATTAATGAGTCAGGCCCTTCTAACTTTGTGCCATCCCAAGCTCTTCCTTCCCATCCATTTTCTTGCCTGTGTGCAATCCACTATCTTCAAGCTTAATGTAAGGGTCGATTCTTGTCATGAAAAGATAACACAGTTTGTTCTTTTGGTTTCTTATTTTTTCAGTTCATTTCCATAAAAACATAATATAAAAGGCAATGCCACCATCTTCCCCTCCTGGGGGTGATCCATCAAGACAGTCTGGGCTGCTCCAGTGGTTCATAGCTCATCATGAGATATGTGCAGGGAATGGTCACACAGATCTGCAAATAGTACATAACAATTTGAAGAAAAACACCACTCTCATATATACTCATATATACCACTATCAAAAAAATATCCCCCAAAAGAAAATACCTCAAATCAAATTGACACGTACATCTACCTTTTTTTTCCCCCAAGTCATAGGGGCCACCACCATTTTCAAAGCATATGCAAGAGGCAGGGATTTAGCTCAGTGGTTCTGCCACTTGCTTTGCAAGCACAGGGTCCTGAGTTAGATCCCAGGTATGAAAAAGAAAAAAAAAAAACAAAAAAACATTTGTAGGGCAGGGGTTTAGCTCAGTAGTGGTTCCAATGCCTGCTTCACAAGCATAAGATCCCAAGTTTGATCCCTGGTACCAAAAAACCCCCCAAACAAAACAGTATACAAAGCATACGCATATGACAGAATATCCCTAGTGCTTCTTATCTGTATCTTCTGCCTACAAATTCTGAAAGCTGACAGGAAGCTAATGGAGAGGAACAACCCAAATTGGAAGGAAAGGAAGAGAAATGAAAGCCAACTTGAACTAATTTCAGAGGATCTGGGGAGTGAGAAATGTGCCAGGTTCCAGAAGGCTGTGAGAACAGGAAGTAAAGTTGGAATAGCTCACCTGTTCGCTTACTACAAAGTTTGTCTTTAACGTTGTCAGCCTCTCGAGAAAAGAATTCAATAAGTTCATCCTCGTATTCTTCCACAATGCTTTCACACTGCCAACCCAAGGGAGAGACAGGTGCCACTGAGCAGCAAGAAGAGGCCTTATGCCCCTACCTCCAGAGAGGGTGACAAGGACACTGACTCAGCCCTCTACATGGTCTCGCCAGCAACCTACTCTCCAAAAACCAGCTACCTTTTCTATAGCTTACCGCAAACTTGAGGGTGCCGCTGATATCCGAATCAATTCGGATGCCTTGTAGGTCCAGTTCACTGGATTCTCCATTCCGGCTCACAACACGTACATAGTTCTTACGGTGGGTGGAAGGGTCAATCTGTTCTCCATACTCCTTCATTCGGTCACATATCTCCTCGAGCAGCTCTGTGAGGTGGGCTTCTGAGCGGGCATAAGGTACCTAGAAATGTCCTCAACCTTGGGTCACTCTCTTCTACCTCATGTATTAGTACTTTATGTTCTTATTTGCCCTTCCAAATCTGGTTCAACCAACCTATTCTAAAATGTCCTCTCTAATTAAAAATAGTATGATTTATTTTTATAGTTTCAGAGTGCTTTCAAAGACAGATGCTGGGTGTGGTGGCATATACCTGTAATCCCAGTACTTGGGAGGAATGTGACAAGCCTGAACTACATAGTAAGGACACTGTCTCAAACAAAAAAAACCCACCCAAGAAAAAAGGCAGGAACCATTACCTACAAATTATAGGTAAATGGAGACCGCTGGTTAGCTCTAATCAATACTCATTTTCCCTTGCTATTTATTTTTTTAATATACAGGGGGTTGAACCCAGGTCCTTGCACATGCTAGGCAAATGTTCTACCACTGAGTTACATACTCATTCCTTTTTAGATAGGGTCTCACTAAGTTGCCCAGGCAGGCCTCAAATTTGAGATCTTTCCTTCTCAGCCTCCCAAGTAGACAGGATTGCAGGTATACGCCACTATGCCTGAGCAAGACCTTTTATTCTTTTTTGAATGAGTCTGTATGCGTACCACAGTGCCAGAGTGGAACATGAGTCATGGATTAGGGCTGTGGAGAAGAGGGGTGATCAAGGGCTCCTGTCTGCTAATGATTTCTATAGCAGAAACAGAGTATTAGGGTTTGGAGCACATGGTTGGCTGAGGCAGAAGGATCACTGTGAGTTTGAGGCCAGCTTGGGCTACACAGTGAGTCAAAGGCAAGCCTGCACTACATAGCAAAATCCTATTAAAAAAAAAAAAAAAGTTTGGAACTGGGAAGCGTGCACATAGCATATAAGCTTCCAGACTTTTCCAATTGAGACAGAGCCAAATCTTTTAGATCTCTCTCAGGTTCTGTTTGCTTCATTTCTGTAAAATCAAAGTCCTTCTTAATTGAGTTCTTGTTCAAAGCCAGAGTGAGTTACTTGGGGGAACAATAAGTTACCTCTACCACTGACTGGCTGCCATCTGGATTGATCCGGAAAGATCCCATCTGAATGGTCTTCTTGGGATCCACCTGGGCAATTTCCCACTCTAGTTCATCCACTAGAGCCCTGCAAGCTGGTGCAAGGAGAGAGAATTGAGGGGTGGAAGTGGAGGGCAGAAGGATAGGATCAATCCAGGCATTTCCATTCATTTTTCTCCCACACCTTGGATCTCCCTCGCCTTTGCATCCTCCCTTCTCTTTGTTCCTTTACCTCCACAATGTAGATCCTGGCTCCTTCGCGCCCAGACAGTTCCCAGGAGGGCCCCCAGAAGCAGGGCCAGCCAACCCCAGCTTTTCATGTTTAGCGTAATGGGGTCGCTCCACCTGAGATTATGTGGGAATAAAACAGGTCTGATGAGTGGACTCAATTTTTCTTTAACCCCCTCCTGCCCCTCCTACTCCTCATCCTGCAGGCTTTCAAAGGCCTCGGTGTAATTCTGACTCTACTTTTCAGGGCCCCTCTGTGTCAGCTCTTGCGGGTCTCGATTTCCTGAACGATGGATGGGAAAGCGAGCTTAGGACTGGGAACTCTGTTCCAGGAACGACTACGTGGACAGGTGAGGCCCTGGATGTTGGCACTTTAGCACTGGAAACTCAGAGGGTTCAGAAGGCTATGTGGCAGCTACAGGACGGAGGCTGGCAGTGCTACCAAGACGGCAGGTCCAGGAGGGCTACCAGGAGCCTTCAGTCAGGCCAGGAGGCCGGCAAGGGGGCCTCTCAAGACTCCGGCCTACCTGGGCTCTGCACACAAGATTGCTGCATCCCCACCTCCAACCTGTTTGCGGTTGCCTGCGAACACCAGCCCTCTTTCCGAGGCTCCACCATTGCTTTCGCTTGGTCCGTCCCACCACCTCGGCGCCCCGCGCGGTCCAGCCAGTCGCGCCTGCCTCCCACCTCTGCTCGCTCGCAGGACCTTTGCCGGGGCCCAGGCGCGCGAAGACGGCCGGACTCTCACTTTGGCCTCGGTGGCTCTCAAGCCTAGAACCTGGCTGTGGGGGAAGCAAGGCAGTCTGGGCTTCTCCGGAGCAGAACACTTCGGCAGTTTTCAGACTCCAGATGCCCCGACTGGAAGCCACCTAACCCGGCTCTCAACACCGCAAGGTAAAGCTCGATTTGCGGCCGTACGAACCCCTCCGCAGACTGACCCCGAACCCGCCCCTCCAAGCTCTCGCGCGATCAGGCAGCGAGGACTCCCCGGCAGTTCGCCGGACCCAGACCTGCGTGGCGAACAGATCCACGTGACCAGCAGGCCTCCATCTACTAGTAGCCTCAAGCAAAAGCAGAGGCCATGTGTGGTCTGTGGGGACGACCAGGGACGCATGTGCAACAGTCTAAGAACCTTCAAAAATAAAGGTGAGCTGCTAGCCAGACGGGAATTTTCTATACACGAGAAACTACATCCCCCAGGAAGCAGCGCGGCCCCAGAATGATCCTGAGAGTAGCTACAAGTCTAAAGATAAAGCGGGATTTGTAGTTTCTCCCCTTAGGTAATTAGTGGGGAAACCATACCACAGATCCTCAATAACTTTAGTGTACTAGAAAACTATCGCAAAGACCTAACATTGTCCAGGAAAAACATAATCAAATAACTTGGTCCAAAATTTTGGTCTCTACTACTTTACATTTTAGGTAGGGATCTGAACCTGACTTAATTTTTCCATTGTTAGGTGAAGCCATCACAAGAGGAGAGCAGACCACAAGGCTGGTCATACTAGTTCTCTAATGACAAAGACAGACAGTAATATTGTTTTTATTTTATAAAACGTGGTTTAAAACAAAAGTTAAAAAAATAAAACTTGAGACAGAATGAATGGAAGACAGATACTTCTCAGCTGCCAAATGAATGAAGCCAGAAGCTAAATTTTCTCCAGGACCCATAGGTTTTTGGGTTTTGTTTTCTTGTTTTGATTGAGGCAGGGTCTCACTATAAAATGTAGGCTGGCCTTGAACTCACTATGTAGTTCAGGTTGGCTTTGAACTTGTTGCAGTCCTGATCCTCCTGCCTCAGCCTCCCAAATGCTAGAATTACCAAAGTCCCTTTTGGTGATAGTGCTGGCAACACTGGTTTGCTTGGGCCACCTAGACTATATGCTGGCCCCTCCTGTTATCCCTTAAACAGTTAAGAGACTTAAGCTAAGTGTGGATCTCATGTTGTAGCTTGTCACTGTGTAAGACTTTAGTCCCTAGCCAGCTAGAAACGAGTTTTTTTGGTTTTGTTTTTGTTTTTTTTTTTTTGGCACCGGGGCTCAAACTCGAGTCCTTTCACTTTCGAGGCAGGCAGCACATCCACTGATCTAAATTCCCAACCCTAGGAATGAGTTTTAATTCTAGGAGGTTCTTTGCCTGGATATTAATTAAGAACACTAATTACTTTTCATCTTGGTCAATTCTAGACTCTTTCTGGACCACTGTTTTGCAAAGGATAAAGAAGGAATCTGGCTCCTAGAACCTTTGCAACAATTTAGCTGCATTCCAGTTCTATGAATAGCACCATCTGCAGACCCTGAGCAGGTCCAATTCTTGAAGTGGACAGGCTAAAGCCAACTTGGGAAACTATCTCCCAGTTCTGGGACCACAGACACTGACAGGAGAGGGCAAGTCAGAGCGCCAGCACTGAGGAGAAGACAGCTGCATCTGTCAGAGACAAAAGAACACAACTCTTAAGGTGAAGGGGGGGGGAGCACTTAAGATGGGGGGGTCAAGACAGGGTCTCACTATGTAGTTGATCCATTTTTTTTTTTTTTTTTTTTGGTACCAGGGATCGAGCTCAGGACCTTGCACTTGTGAGGCAGGCAGTGGAACCACTGGGATAAATCCCCGACCCTTATCTCACTATGTAGTTGAGACTGACCTGGAACTCACTATGTAGCCCAGGCTGGTCTCAAACTCACAGTGATCCTCCTGCCTCAGCCTCCCAAGTCCTGGGATTACAAATGTGTACCACCACACCTGGCTATTTTTTTTTTTTTTTTTTTGGTATCAGAGATCAAACTCAGGACCTTGTGCTTTTGAGGCAAGTGGCAGCACCAGTGAGCTAAATCCCCAGCCCTCTTTTTGTTTTTTTTGAGACAGGGTCTCATTATGTAGTTCAGGCTGGCTTTGAACTCACTATATAGTCCAGGCTAGCTTTGAATTCATGGCAATCCTCCTGCCTTAGCCTCCCAAGTACTGGGACTACAGGCATGAACCACCGCACCCTGCCAGGATATCTCTTATGAAGGAAAAATGCAAGATAAAAATATATGGGCCTTCTCCAAACATTTTAGAATTAAACAAGAGGAAATTATGGATCCATAAAGTCTATTTCACTGTTAGGAGAATTATGTGCTTTGTAAAGTGTTTAAGTGCTTCACAAAAATAAGCTAGGAGCAGCATTATTATTTGTGTGGTGTTTATAATCGCTATACATTCAAAATCTATCCAGTCCAGTTTCCATTGTCCCATCCCAGGCCTTACTCTTTGGGCTTGTCTGGCTTTCAGGCTCAGGCACCTTCCAGTCCATTTTACGTCCTTTCTCGTAAAGAGCTTTAAGCACCTTGTGGAAGGACTCTGGCTCAGTACCATTCTTGCTTAACTCCAGATACTTTCGGTAGAGCTGAAGGGCCGTGCGGGCATCCTCAATACTGTCATGGGTCTCCCCTTGAATCTTCAGGTCTAGGGTAAGCAGAGATGTAATAGTTTGCAACCTAAGATAGGAAGGTAGAACATGTCCCACCACTCCTACCCTGACTGCCAGAAAACAATTAAAAAAAAAAAAAAAGCATGTTTTTAAGGGAAAGAGTCAAACTCCTTTGCTAATGCACAAGCTAATTGTTATCATTAACTCAGGGCCCATCCTATTTCTCTTTGGTCCTCTAACATGTTTCAAACATTTTTAAAAAATTATTTTATTTTACTTACTTATTTTTGGTACCAGGGATTGAACTTAGGATCTTGTGCTTGCAAGGCAGGCAGTAGAACCATTGAGCCAAATCCCTGGCCCTCAAACACTTTTTTTTTTAAAGACAGGGTCTCACTATTTTTCCGAGGCTGACCTTGAACTTGTAATCCTGCCTCAGCCTCCCAAGTAGTTGGGATTAATGGTGCATACTATCAAATATAGCTAATATTTCCTACTCTTAATCATTACCAGACACCTAAAAGGCAGGCCAACTCACCCAGAAAGTACCAAGCAAGGAATCGCAAGGAAATCATTCGTTTTCGGGGCATGTGAAACAGGTAGACAGTGTCAAGGACTTGGTCCTTGGGCACCTGGCAGGAATAAAAGGGTGGGGACTTAGACAGGGAATGCATAATTTCCCATTTCAAAAAATACTATGTATACCTTGATGGGCCCACCCTCAAAAGTGACTCTTAAAAGAGCCTAGCCCGAACCATGAGGTTGATGACCCGGAAGTCCTTCTGTAGGCCATGACCCACAAACTTGACTCCTATGTCAATGAGAAAACGAAGCTTTAAGTAGGTAGATTTAAGGGTTGTGAGGTGCTTGGAGGAAATTTTGGCATCAAGGTCTCCTGGTTTTATCCCCGAGTATTGAGTCAAGTAATCCACCACCTAGAAATATAGAAAAGGATGGGATGTGAGCTGCTGTCTCCTCCTACCACTCCTCCCTGGATTCTCAAGCGGTGAACATAAGCACAGAGTTTAACTCAATGGTACCTCCATCTCCTAATACCTGCTCCTGGGTAGAGATGTAGTCATCAATGAAGGGGATACCCTCATTGGGTCCCTGGCCCCGAACACAGGTGATCCTTGCTACTGACATCTGGCTTGGTTTAATGGTAGACTTAGTGCCATCACTGCGTAACTCTGCTTCTTCCTATGTGACAAGAGTTAATCAGAGACATGCTTACAACTCCTAACATCCTCAGAGTGCTGCTGCAGTGTCCTATCCTTTGCTTCTTGGTTACCTCATTAAGAGTGACAAATTCAGCATCAAGGCCAACCAGGTCCCCAACCTGTGGCATCTCGCTCAGCATCAGTGGAATAAAGGTAGTATGTGTTTTCCGCTGCTTCCGTGCCAGTGAGGCTTCAGCCAACAACACACTAGCCTCAATAGGATTCTTGACTGCAAGGGAGAATGCAGAAGAGAGGGCCAGGGATTGGGAAGTAACTAGAGGGGAGGAGCCAGGATGGCCGATCAGACTCTGCGTCTACTCTGTGATCCCTCAATAATCAAAGTAAAGTATATTATGGGCTGGGGATTTGGCTCAGTGGTTCTGCTGCCTGCCTTGCAAGTACAAGGACCCAAGTTCAATCCCCAGTATCAAAAAAAAAAAAAAAAAAGGCGTATTAGTAAATGATCAAATCTGCTTAATAGAACAGGTAGGCAGACCAGATCAAATCAGAAAATTATTGAGATATGCCAAGAAAACCTAGAGCTGTGACAGAAAAGAAATAAGATATTCACTTTGGACCTTAGCTTAGAAAATCCAGAAAAATAAGGTTACATCAAAATTATGGTTTAAAGATACCAAAGAGAGACTTAATAAAGAGCTCATCTCCAAAAGATGAGATCTTCACTGGAGGCTAAGAATTGGTGGACTCAAAAATCACAATTTAAAACCATTTTGATCAAATGTTTCCTCTCACCCCTTCCCTACTCCACCCTCAAGATTTCCAGCTTCTAAATTTAAAGTCTAATAAGCAGAAATCTCTTTAGTATTCCTAGAGAGATTAGTACCAATTACCAGTCCTAAGTACTAACAAATATTTGTCAGATCTCCTCCTAAACCCTAATTTAAACTGCCCCCACCCTTAAGCCTGCCTTGTACCACTTACTATTCAGGTTGTATCTGGCACTGAGATTCCTCTTCACATAGTAAAGGATAGCAGGTACTTTCCAATTCATGTCAAACTGCACTGCCTCATGCTAGAGAAAAGCAAGGGGCTAGGTGTGTAGTTCAGTGGTAGAGTGCTTGCCTAGCATACATAAGGACCTGGGTTCAATCCCTAGCAATGCTAAGAAAAAGAAAAAGCACCCACAGCCTATTTATGTATGTCCCTTTTCCCATTCCCCAAGTCAGACTGAGGCCAGGACTCAGGTGCTGTTTTTAACTCTGCTACCATCTTTTATTCCAGAAAATCCCTCCCTCTTGAATATGCCTGGCATTCTATAGGGCCCTGAGGATGAAGACACTAGCAAAGATGGGTGTAAAAAGGGGAATAAAACATCGCAACTCACTTTATCAATAGGTTCAATAAGGAAGTCATTGAAGAGATACCACTGCTGGTGAGTGACGCCCTGTGGAAATACAGAAAGGCTGCTGCCAAAGTAATGGCTGAACCACTCTGTCAGGGACTCGAGGACAGAGCCCGAGACTCCACTGTGGCCATTCCCAAGAGTACCGCTGCCCTGTAAGACCTCACTCACCTCCTTGCGCTGGTGGTAGGTCTCTCCAACTTTGATGTGAGCCACCAGGCTGCCCCCTGTGCGCGAGTCCAGGATGTGCACCACAGTAGCCATCAGGTCATACACACAGACACCATGCTCCTCCTCTGCCCTGGCGGGGCCCCACTGTGAGGGGGGGTACCCAGGCTGCTAAGCTATGTTTAAGGATTGGGGAGGATGGGAAGTGGGGATAAAGGGCAGGGAGTTGGGGGTGTAGGAGATGGGGAACCAGGGTAGGCTATCACCATTCCTAGCCCATATCCCTGACTCCCAGAACTGAAGAAAATCACTAGAAAAACCCCACAATTGGTAAATACTAAGTCCTTATTCTCTTCCTTAAAGTTCCACCTCCCCCCTGCTCTGCTTCACCACCTGCCACACCTTCTGTCCCTTATCCCCTCTCTTCCCCAGTTTTCAACAACATGCACCTCATCCCCATCAGTCCAATTGCAAACATCCAGCCCTTTGTTCTTGGTCATCTTCATCCGAATAGAAAAAGGAAGCCAGACATTTTTCAACTCCTCAATGGAGGAACACAACAGCAAACCTTCTGGACTCCTTAGTTCCTTCCTGTTGGAACAGACAAATTACAAATGTGCTCAAAAGACCTGGCCAGAAACAAGGTGAGCCACTGAGTAATTCAATCCTTTGACAGCACTCAAGATAGTACCTACCGATCAACCAAAGCAAATTCTTTATTCTTAGCGATTTCCCCACCATATTTCTTTACTGCCATCTTGAAGGCAACCTGATCACAAAGGAAAAAAAAAATCTGATTCTTCAAAAACATAATCCTATATGGAAGTCAGAAGGAAGAGAAAAATAAAAAGTACTGCAGCTAGCACTCTGGGAGGCTGAGACAGGAGAACTACAAGTCTGAGTCCAGCTCACTTAGGGACTTAGTGAGTAAATAAAAAATAAAGAAGGGCTGGGAATGTAGCTCAGTGCTAAGGTCTTGGATTCAATCTCTAGCACAAAGAAAAGAAAAGAAAAAAAATAAGTAGGTCAATCAGTCCTATAATCCCAGCACTTGGGAGGCAGAAGAACTGCTATGAGTTCAAAGTCAGCCTGGGCTATGTAGTGAGTTTAAGGCCATTCTGAACTACATCGTAAGACCCTGTGTCAAAAAAACAAAAACACCTAAAATCCCTGTTTGCAATCCTAGTTCTTACCTCAGCTTGAATTCTCCAGAAATCTGCCTCTTTTGAACTGTTTACCTCACAATTAATGACAAGAATATCTGGGAGATGGCGGATGTTGCGGGTCTGAATCTGAGAAGACAAAAAAACGGGATGGAGTCTACATGGAAAGAAACCTAGACAGGAACAGTAAGAACGGTAATAGTTTAAGGTCTGTGCCTCAAACTGGGGTTTCTCCTACTCCTCACACATCCTTGCTGACTGAGCCACAGCCAGGTCCCTAATATGATGGAGTCTGGTCCAGGGCCACACCACTCACCGTGGGCTGGTACTTCTCACAGTTGTCACACCAGGCCTGAGTATTCTGCTCCAGGCAAATGCTTCGCTTTAGAACCTGAGCAAAGTCACAGTTCTTCCCGGTCTTATCTAAGAGGAAACTAGGGTACTTCATTCCAGGCTCTCCCTTCTACCACAGTTAGCCCCCCAACACCCCTCCCTGCTGGTACAGGACATCTCTGGAGTCTTCCCAACCCAGCTTTCAGGGTATACCACGGTTGCTACCCTCAGGGTAGGAGAGTGTAAAAAGTAGGGTGGATGAAGCTCGCACGGTCTCGCTGCCACAGCGGCAGAGGCTGCAGTTCTCCATCTCACAGCTGAACAGCTGCCCAATGACAGAGTCCCCCGAAGAACAAAAGCTGCTAAGAATGGGAAGGGTGATATATGCACACTCAGAGAGTTAAAAGACTCTTTAAGGCCCTGAGGGGCCTATCACAGTGGCTTTAACTGTTCCTGTCCAATCCTGTACCTGCCTCCAGCACCTCGGTAAGCCTGGGGTACTTCCAGCTCCTGCATATCCTGATGCAGCTGTGTGAGAATGAAGCGATTCCACCTCTGAATGAGTCTGGCCAGATTGCCCTTGCCTGAAGCCTCATCTGAGTCAGCCAGGATCAGGCCAAGGGCTGAGGCCTCAGGAATGGTACGGAATGCCCGAAGAAAGTTACTGCCCTGGAAAGGGTATATGGATGGAAAGGGTTATCTTCTCTTTTGTAGATGTTTACATAGCAATGTCCCTGCTTACTGTCCCTCTTCCTTTCTCTTCCATTTAAGTGTCCTAGGTCTCCAGGAACTGACCTGGCAAGGGTCACCACGAGAGAGGTCCAACATATGGAAGAGGAAGCCCAGTTCACATGCCAGGCAGAACTCTTTCTGGCAAAGGTGGTTCTGGATTAGACAGCGAACAGGCTCCAGGAAATAGAGCACCTGGAAAGAACAGGAGAACTGGTGCAGGAAATTAAGAGAAGAGAGATGGTGAGGTTATGTGAGCGGTACAGAATATGAAGGATTCCACTGAAGCAGTGGAACTCAGAGACCTGAAGGTGTGGGGACAATAAGGAATGGCGGATGAGGCCAAGGTACAGAGGGCTTGGTTAAAGAAACCTGGAGAGAAGTCCAGGGATGTAGCTCAGTGGCACAGTGCTTGCCTGGCAAGTGAGAGGCTGAGTTTGAGTCCCAGTACAAAAAAAAAACCTGGAAAGAAGCTGGGCATGGTGGTGCACACCTGAAATCCCAGCAGTTGGGAAGCTAAGGCAGGATGATCACTCAGGCTACATAATGAGTTCAAGGCCATCCTTAACCACATAGCAATACTCTGTCTCAAAACAAAACCAAAAAAATGGAAACCTGGAAAAGAGCAAAATAGGGGCTGAGGAGCAAGGGGGAAGAAAGAAAGTAGGCACGTTCCTGTCATAAGAAGTCCCAGCCCTTACCTGGATCATGCAGTTACAGTAGGCATTGGGGATATGGGGCTCTAATCCAGCAAACAGGGTCTTATTATAGTGTTTGAAGTCAAAGTCCTCCAGCCCAAGCTTAGAATACTTGATGGTTACCTGAAATAGAAACAGACTGAGCAAGATGAAGATACAGCCTTACAGTCCCCCAAATGTTCCCAGGATTCAACGCCTTCCTTACAACTCTCCTGGGTCCACAGTGGTAGGTGGAGGCTGCTTTTGTGTGTGTGCTTGTGCTAATTATCAAGCCCAGGGCCTCATTCATGCTACATAGACATTCTATCCCTGAGCTACACGCGTAGTCCAGGTGAAGGCTTCTTGACTGAGATCTTAAATTCTTTTTTTTTTTGTTTTCTTTTCCTGGTACTGGGAATTGAACTCAGGACCTTGTGCTTGGCAGGTAGGCACAGCACCACTGACTTATATCCCCTGCTCCTTCAGTTCTTTCTTATACAAAGTCCTTCCCAGGGCACCTTTCCCCACTTCCCACAGGCTCCCTGCCTTGGGTGTCCCCCTGCACCTTGCGGTATTTCTTAGAGACCATGTGGAGGTGTGGCTCCTCTTCCCGCCCTATTGGTGACTCAGTGACCTGGCTGAAGCTGTCGAATTCATTGTCCAACTCCTTTAGTCGGTAAGGAATCTAGGGTTAAAAAAAAAAAAAAAAGAGGGCCAGGGATTTAGCTCAGTAGTTCCACTGCCTACCTTGCAAGCACAGGACCCAAGTTTGATTCCCGGTAACGAAAAAAAAAAAAAAAAAACAACTCTGTTGTATGTCTTTTCCTTTTTTTTTTTTTTTTTGAGGCAGGGTCTCACTATGTAGTTGAGACTGACCTGGAACTCACTATGTAACCCAGGCTGGTCTTGAACTCACAGTGATCCTCCTGCCTCAGCCTCCCGAGTACTGGGATTACAGGTGTGCACCACCACACCCAGCCTTTTTGGTTTTTTTGAGACAGGGTCTTTCTATATAGTTAAGGCTGGCCTCAAACTTGCAGTGATCCTCCTGCTTCAGCCTCCCAAGTGCTGGGATTACAAGGGTGCGCCACCATGTCCAGCTTGTTGTATGTTAACTGTCTTTGGCTTCCCCTTTTATCCTGACATTGAAAATGTCACCACGTCCTAATCTTTCTGTTTTCACAGTGTTCTCACCATCTCCTGCTTCCTTTTTATTTCTGCTGCCATCTCTCTGCTCCGTTACAGATGGACAGCTGTGATGAGTTCCACACTGTCTTCCTATATTCACTTTGTCCAGCTACCAAAAGAACCATCCCAGAATGCTGCTTTCAGTGCACGACTTCTTCCACTATACTCAAAGCTTCCTTATCCTTGTCTTTTCTAAACTTTAATTCTTTTTTTTTTTTGATGGATTGAACTCAGGACCTTGCCCTTGCGAGGCAGGCAGTGGAACCACTGGGCTAAATCCTGGGCCCCTAACCTTTAATGTCTTGCTACTTCCCATTACCCCTTCCATTAAGTCTATTGGTACATTTAAAGCAAACAATACAGTTACATTTATCCTTGGGATCTTGTACATTTACATGATATATCTTGGTTCTTATTTTTTTACTTCCCATTATTAACTGTTGCTCCAGCCAGATTGGCTTTCTCTTTATAAGTGCTTTTGCATTTATTTCTCTTATTAACTTTAATGATACTGTTCTCTCAGCTTGACTCTTCTCCTCCATTACCATTTACTTACCTATAATCCCCCGTTTCCAGCTCAATATGTGTTTCTTTTATTATGCTGTTCCTGACCACTCTATCCCAGGGAACATTTCCCCTCCAAACACCTCTGGTACTGAATGCTTGTAATATTCCTTTGATGTATTTTTTGTTTTGTTTTCTGATAGAGGATCTTGCTATGTAGCCCAGGCTGGCCTTGAATGTACCAGATCCTCCTGCCTCAGCCTCCCAAGTGCTAGAATTGTAGGCATCAACAGTCAGGTATATATAATTTCTGATACGGATAATGTCTTGCCTTTAACCAGATACTAAACTTCCTAAGAGCTAGGACCCCATCTTCCATGTTTCTGAATCCTCCCTAACCCTAAGCATAGTTCCTTCAATTTTGCAGGCTCCCAAAAGCCCTATCAACTGTCTAAAAACAAAAGACTAGAAAAGGAAAAGGAGAAACACCAGTGGGATAGAGTAGGGACAAAACCCTTCCCCTCTGAACACACCTGATTGCGAAGCCTGGTGCGGGGGTTGGGCGCATAGCCAATGAAGCCCACTTTCTTCATGGTGCGCAGTATCTCTGCATCCACAGGTGGTGCTCGCCTATAATCCAGTACAGTTCTAGGGCTTCCACCTTTCCACTCCCCAACCCCCAAGAGTAAAGAAAAAAAGAAAAGAAAAAGTACTGATGGCAGACAACAAGAAAGTGGTAGAATAATAAGGCTGGCAGAAAATTCTGATATCTTGGCCCTTTTCCCCCCCTCCCTCCTTTATATCTAGAGGTGAGGTACAACCTGGGAGCTGGGGCGGAGTTGGCAGCAGGCCAATCAGAAAGAAGCGTGTCCGTGGTGAGTGGAACAGGGATGAGGGAAAGAGGTAGCAGGTCTTGGTTCCAGTCCAAAGGAGGCAGTGAGTCCACCAGACAAGGCAAAGCAAATTCAGTCTCACGGGAGTAGGGGTTGAAGGAAGGCTCCGGGGAATCAGTCCAGAGGTGCACACAGCCCTCAGAATCCCCAAAAGCCAGGGCCTGCTTGCTGGTGGACACATCAAATGTCATTAGCAGAGGTCCCACGGGATTCACATGAAAGATATCTGCTGGGTTGGCCAGGCCTGTGGGCTCACAAAACTGGCATTGCCCTAGGAGGGAGGAAGAGGCCCACTGAGCCCTAGAAAGGGAAAGGGAGACATCCTTTTATCCCTTTTCTATTCTCTTCTGATATCAAGGCAAGATGTACCCTAAATCCATGCCATCTGATGCCTTCCCATAAAGCAAAGGATGGTTTGCTAACCAGCAAAAGCAATTCTCAAGTTAGTTTGCCTATTTCATCTTTATTTTTTCCGACATTCTTAACACCCAAGGAGAAAATAAAACAGCTCATCTCTAATCAAGCCTAAGTGAAATACTGGGGGTTACCTTTTTTCCCTAAAAGAGGTATCTGCAGATTATTCCTTCTGATTCCTAGTTCCCCTTTGCTCATTGACTTCTCCTAGCCAACTTTCGTTGGGGGGGTAGCAGGGATTGAACTCAGGATTTCGTGCTTGTGAGGCAGACACAGTGCCACTGAGCTAAATCCCTGACCCAGTCCCACCCATCTTATAACCCTTTGTACCTGACTGGGAGATGATAGCAAGACGAGAAGTATATGTAGGGATGAAGCGTAGGAAGGCAGGATCCACATGAACCTGAAGTGGTGTGATGGCTCGCATCATTCGCAAGTCATATACCTTGAGGAATCGGTCACAGGCCAGGCCAGTGAGGCGACTGGAGAAGCCACAGGCAGCCAGCAGGTTGCCATGCACATCAAAATCTGACAGACTCCCTGAGAAGGCATCAAATTCATGCTCTGCCTTGAAACTACGGAGGTCGCGCAGGGAAACCTAAAGAAGGGATAACTCTGTTATCTGCCAACTCTGTTGTTAGAGTTCTGCCACCTACCTACCTAGCTCTGTGAAGTCCCTACCTTAGGAACTAAGGCTCTAGGATAGGGACAGTTAGAGAAAGGAAAAGGCAAAAAAGAGAAGCCAAGGGCTGGGGATTTAACTCAGTGGTTCTGGCACCTGCTTAGCAAGTATAAGGACCCGAGTTCCATCCCCGGTACAAAGAGAGAGAGAGAGAGAGAGAGAGAGAGAGAGAACTTTTTTTAGAGAGAGAGAGAGAGAGAGAGAGAGAGAGAGAGAAGCCAAGATCTGCAAGGGACCACCAAAGGAACTCACCCTTTTTCCTTCTAGGTACCTCGTTACAGAAAACATCAGGATACAAGATACTTTCATAGTATAACATAACTGAGTACAAAGTAAATTTATTCCTCTCATCTCTCTTTTCCAATCCAACTAGGAAAAGCACATCTCAGGTGTCTAGTGAAACAGGGGTTGTGGTAGGAAAAGAAATGGAATTTGGCCACCTTGCCAGATGTGTGGCCACAGAAGAAGAAGCGATTTGTCTGTCTCATGATGGTGACTCCAGGTATTTCGACTGCATACTGGAGAGGGAAGGAGGAGAGACCAGTGATAAAAACGACTTTAGGAATAGAAAGGTCATCCCCAACCTCAAGCACATTTCCAGCCCAAACATACTCCTTCCCCTAATGCGTTCAGGCCCTGCAGGGGTCTTTCTTGGGTCCAATCCAGGCTTATACCTTTTGAGTCTCCTGGACAGTGTTCAGATCAATCTCTAATATGTGGTTCTGTAGGCCACCCACAAGTAGTGTGCTGCTGTCAGTCAGCAGGAGACTGTGCATATCCTCACCCTCATCCAGCCTATGAGAAAGAGTAAACGCTAACAGGCCAGGTCTCAGCAGCTGCCAATCCCTTCAGCCTTCCCATACTATGAGTTTCCCTCTTGCCTGGTGCAGAACTGAAAAGCTACTTACAAGTAATCAAATATAATGAGTCCCCCACGAGCCATATACTTGAGGTTGTTCTTTGTGAGAAAAAGGACACCATTCTCCAGGCTCTGGATCTGGCGAATATCATCACTGCCGTTGACCTGAAAGGATGAGTAGCGCTCTAAGGCTGGGCCAAAAAATGAAGTGGCATGGCCCTGCAAGAGACAAAGATAATGGAGACATCCTGAGTGGAGGAGTAAGGCCATTTCAGACATGGGATTGAAATCTGCTAGCTTGTCTTCTCTTTCACCTGACCTTCCTGGCTAGGATCAACTAAGCATATGGCTAAGGACCAGTCTTACTGACAAAGACAGAAACAGTGTCCCACATGAGTGGATTAAAAAATATGCTTTTTTTCCCCATTCTGGTTCTGAGGATCAAACTCAGGATATTTTGCTTGCCAGGCAAGCATGATGCCAGAGCTACATCGCCAGCTCTTACAATTTTTTTTTTTTTTTTTTTTTTTGTACCAGGGATTAAACTTGGGACCTTGTGCTTTTGAGGCAGGCAGCAGAACCACGGAGCTAAATCCCCAGCCCTATAAAATACTCTTATAAACTCTACCTCACTTTATCCTCACAATGATCTGCTGAATAGGTTATAGCTCAGCTGTTAGAGATGTATCCAGAAGGCCAGAGACATGGTTCGATCCTCCACTGGGCAGCTGGCTTTTTTTTTTTTTTTCTCTTCAGTACTGGGGATTAAACCCAGAGCTTTAATGCATGCTAGGCAAATGCTCTACAACTGAGCTATACCCTCTAGCTCCTCCTTTATTAATTTTGAGACAGGGTCTTGCTAATTTGCTCAAACTAGTGTCTAATTTGATTTTTTTTTGGGGGGGGGGCTTGTTTTTTGGTACCAGGGAGCAAACTCTGCACTTGTGAGGCAGGTGGCAGAACCACTGTACTAAATTCCCAGTCCACTAGTGTCTAATTTGAGATCCTCTTGCCTCAGCCTCTCAGGTACTTGGGATTACAGGCAAGCACCACCACACCTCACTGTATTGTTTCCTGGCACTGAGATTTAAAACCAGAACCCCATATGTGTTCTACTATGCTCAGCTCAGCTGGCTTTCTTATGGTCCACAGTCAAGTCTTTTTATTTTGGTTTTGCTATGTAGTTCAGGCTGGCCTGGAACTCACTGCAATCCTCCTGCCTCAGCCTTCCAAGTGATAGGATTACATATGCCACCACACCATGCAGTCCAGTTAAGTCTTAATCCCTACCATCCATGTAGGAAATGAGTAATGTGGATCACAAGCTGGAATGGAAAATACATTTTGTTTTGTTTTTTGGTATTGGGGATCAAACTCAGGACCTGGCGCTTGTGAAGCAGACGGCAGAAACACTGAGCTAAATCTCTGATCCAAGAATATGAAATTCATTTTGACCTTGCCTTCTGTGATGTTCATGCCTAGTTTCTCTTCTGATTTAGTTCACATCTTTTCCTTGTGTGCTCCCCTGCTTTTCACCACTCTTGAAACATGGCTGTTCTCAACCCACCATTTTCTCATTCTACTTGTCTTCCCAGGTAATCTTATCCACCCTTAAAGTTTTAATTATCCATTCTGAAGCTAATGAACCCTTATTTGTACCATTTATGCAGCCAAATACTTATTAAACATCTCTTTTGCCAGGTGTGGTGGTACATGCCTGTAATCTTGTCATTCTGGGAGGCGGAAGCAAGAGTAGCCTAGGCAATTTAACAACTTAGTGAGACCCATGTGAAAATAAAAATAAATGAATAAAAAAAGCCTTGGGTTCAATCTGCAGTAGCAAAAAAATCTCCACAGTATCCCATGAGAATCTCAAACTCATTATATCAGAAATTTCCCATTTGTATTCTCATTTCTTTTTATTCTTTATGATATGATGATATGAACTACTAAATCGACCAAGTCATTTGGCAGCCAAGTCCTGTTTATATTACTACAAAATATTTCCGAATCCTGCTTTTGTTGGTTGGTTTTTTGAGGCAGGGTCTCCCTTTGTAGTTCAGGTTGGCCTTGAACTCACTGTGATTCTCCTTCCTCAGCCTCCAGAGTGCTTGGATTACAATGTGCCACCACACTCAGCTTTTCTATCTTTCTTGTTCACCCATCTCTAAAGAGCTTCCTACAGGCCTTTACCTTATTTTGTGCACTATAACAATAGCCTGCAAATTCTGAGTCCTGTCCCTTCCTCCTTAACACTCTATACTGCTTCCTCCGTGGTACATCTAGATGCCAACTATACTTTGTCATTCAGGTCAAAACCCTTCAGTGGCCTCAAGGACCAGGTACAGGCACAGGTTCCTTTAACAAAGTATATGAAGTCCTCCAGAATATTCTTTCCCCAGGTATCTTTCTAGTGCCTTTCCCCGCTTCTAAAAAGTTGAGATGGCAGGCATTGTAGCTCACATCTGCAATCCCGGCACTTGGGAGGCTGAGGCCGAAGGATCACTGTGAGTGGGAGGCCAGCCTAGGATACACAGTGAGACCCTGTCTCAAAAAAAAAA